ATTTCAAACAATAAAAGAGATAAAATAATAGGCTGTTTAAAAATAAGTATGTTTTCTTGTCTGTAGTTCTCCAAAAGGATGGGGAGCAAGCACTTTCCAGGAAGTTCCAGGAAGTTAGGAGGGAGGTTTGGTGAAGTCCCCAGCAGGTGTTTCGGTGAAGTCACCACGGACCCTAGCTGAGGGGCCCTGGGGAAGGACTTGGCCAGCAGAGGGAGACAAGCCCAGCCCACTGTCAGAGACATGGCTGTGTCCTACTGATTGAGAGGGAGGGTGCAAGTGGCTTTCCCACGGTGGCCACCTACTGCAGAGACGAGGGCAGGAGGTGAGGGGAGGGAGGCCTGAGGAGGCCTGGGGTATAGGGTCCTCACCGAGAAAGGCGTCCTGCAGGCAGAGGGTCTGAGGTGTGAGGACATAGGGTTTACAGGAGACATCCCTCAGAGCGCGTCTGGTCCCCTCTTTCTATATCTGGCCTTTTCTGGAGAATAACGTCCCCACCCCAGGATGCCCCGCCCCCCACTACAGGATCAGGCTCGCCACAATGGTAGCTTCTGGACCCCCTAGCTCCCCTTTCTGTAGACGGCTGAGCTGGGAGGGAAGCCATAGTCACAACGCTCGCCTCACCTGGTGGAATGAATGTCTGATGTCTAAATGGGTTCTTCTGAGGCTAAGGGATTATGCAGTTGAAAATCAGATGGTTCACAGCTTGGCTCTGTCATTGACCATATTCTTTACTGAGCACATACTATGTGCAAAACACTGTTGTGAGCTCTTTGCATGTATTGCTTCATTATTAGTCATGGGGATACAAGCAAGTCACAGTATCTCAGACTCCATTCATTAAATGAGATATCTATTTCATGGTATTATAGAAACATTACAAAGCCATACTTTTCCAACTTCAATGTGCCTGTGAATCTCCTGGGAAGCTTGTTTAAATGCAGATTCTAAGGTCTATACCACGGCCCAAGATGTTGCCTTTCAGCAAGCTGCTGGATGATGCTGATGCTGTTGGTCTGGGGGCCACATTTTTTTTTTTTTTTCTGAAGATAGAGTCTTGCTCTGTTGCCCAGGCTGGAGTACAGTGCCACAATCTTGGCTCGCTGCAACCTTCACCTCCCAGGTTCAAGCAATTCTCCTGCCTCAGCTTCCTGAGTAGCTGGGATTACAGGCGCACGCCACCATGCCCAGCTAATGTTTTGTATTTTTAGTAGAGACGGGGTTTCACCGTGTTGACCAGGATGGTCTCGATCTCTTGACCTCGTGATCCACCCGCCTCGGCCTCCCAAAGTGCTGGGATTACAGGCTTGAGCCACCGCGCCCGGCTCTTTTTCTTTTCTTAGGCAGAGTCTCGCTCTGTCGCCCAGGCTGGAGTGCAGTGTCGTGATCTTGGCTCTCCTGAACCTCCGCCTCCCAGGTGCAAGTGATTCTCCTGCTTCAGCCTCCGGAGTAGCTGGGATTACAGGCACCCACCACCACACCCAGCTAGCTAATTTTTGTAGTTTTAGTAGAGATGGGGTTTCACCATGTTGGGCAGGCTGCTCTCAAACTCCTGACCTCAGGTAATCCACCCCCTCCTCAGCCTCCCAAAGTGCTGGGATTACAGGCCTGAGCCACTGAGCCCAGCCGCTGTGGGATTTCTCGAAAGGATTCACCTCCATCAGGCTTTGGATATGGTCAGTGCGCTGGGTTTCCAGCACCGGATCTGGTATATGGCAATCACTAAACATTTTAGTAATTATTATTTGTCTGCCTCCTGGTTTGGGACAACCCCCAAGCCCACTGGAGTGGGTGGGCCTCAGCACTGTAAGCATAGGTTCCCAACTTTCCTTTTTATTTTTATTTATTTATTTATTTATTTTGAGACATAGTCTCACTCTGTGGCCCGGGCTGGATGCAGTGGCAAGATCTCGGCTCACTGCAATCTCTGCCTTCTAGGTTCAAGTGATTTCTGCCTCAGCCTCCCCAGTAGCTGAGATTACAGGCTCCCGCCACTACGCCCACCTGATTTTTTGTATTTTTAGGAGAGACTGGGTTTCACCCTGTTGGCTAGGATTGGTCTCAAACTCCTGACCATGTGATTCGCCCGCCTCGGATTCCCAAAGTGCTGGGATTACAGGCCTGACCCGCCGCAGCCGGCTCCGGCGCCCAGTTATCTAAGAGCCGCGGACCAATTGCTCTTCCTTCCTTCGAGCGCCTGTTTTTTCCAACAGAGCTAGAGTTGTAATGCACATGAAAATAGGTTAAAATACAGCTGCCCCAAAGAATGCAGGGAACGGAGTGAGAGAGAAGGACACTAGGACCCTGTAAGGAAGGGACCGCATTGCTGCTGGAGTTTGGGGGTTCTGAAGCACACCGGGAGGGTCCACGTGGCTCTAGGGGCACCTGGAGAGCAGCGGCTGAGGTTCCGGGGGCTCTTCCAGTTCCCCTCTTTTTGCAGTATGTGGCCGTGGACAGTAAGCCCTGTTCCCCAATGCCTCTAGGTCTTTCTTTCATCATGTCTAAGTTGGGAGAATTTGGAGCCAAGGATTCTCCTCAACTTCTGGAAAGACACTGAAAGACGCTTCCTCTTGGACTGCGGTCTAGACCTAGACTGCTTCCCAGCTTGCAGATTTGCACTGTTTAGCAGACGCAGGAGTAGGGTGTAAAAGCCCAGATTCTGGAGTCAAATAGATGTTGTTTGAACCCTGATCTGCCCTTACTAGCTCCTTGACCTTCAGCAAGTGACTAAAAATTCACGGGCCATATCTTTTTTGTGTGCAAAACGTCTGTGGGAGGGGGGGATATGAAAGTGTTTTCTGTGACTAGAGAAAGCAGCTAGCAGAGTTTGATATGCAGTCGTGTTCAATAACCTTTCGTTAGAATTTCAGAGCCGCTTACAGACCGAAGGCTGGAAAACTCAGTATGTAGTGAAGGCTGAAGGGGGAACACGGGCGCCCCCACGTGTTAGGCGCATTAACTGCAAGGGCGTACCCTAGGTCAGTCCCACGGACCTCCTAGTGGAGCGGGGTGGTCAGTAAATGTTGCTCTTCCTCACACCAGCTCTGTGGCTTTGGGCAAGTTCCCTTGACTGCGAGACAAAAGGGTTTGAGTCAGATGGTCTCGAGGCCCCACATGATTTGTAAATGAGTCAGGCATGGTATCTCAGTCTGGGCTTCTTTTTCTTAGCAGGGTTCAGTTTCTTTTGTTCCATTCAGTCTCTCAGGCCAGCTGTGGGAAACAGGGATGCTGACTTCCCAATCACTAGCAGCTTGCCTCCTGAAATAAGTTCAGTTTCCACGGTGGCTGCTTTGAGGAGCAATGTTCATTGGTTGCATAATTCTGGAACCATTTTTTTAACCTCATTAATTGAGTCACAATGAAGACACTGCTTTCCATTTGAGACTCAAGACATCAATCTTTTTTTTTTGGACAGAGTCTTGCCCTGTCACCCAGGCTGGTGTGCAGCGATCTTGGCTCACTGCAACCTCCACCTCCTGGGTTCAATCAATTCTCCTGCTTCAGCCTCCTGGGTAGCTGGGATTACAGGTGCCCAGCACCACATCCAGCTAATTTTTTTGTACTTTTAGTAGTGCCTAGCTTGTTCATTTTTACAGTGAGATATAATTTTCATGCTGTTATTTTTGATCTACAAAAAATGAGAAAAACCCCAAATGATTAGTTAAAACTATTTCAAAACATGGGACTTACGCTGGGTGTGGTGGCTCACACCTGTAATCCCAGCACTTTGGAAGGCTGAGGTGGGCAAATCACTTAAGCCCAGGAATTTGAGGCCAGCCTGGGATATATAGTGAGACCCTGTCTCTACTCTAAATACAAAAAAAGCCAAATGTGGTGGTGGCACACATCTGTAGTCCCAGCTGCTCAGGAGGCTGAGGTGGGAGGATCACTTGAGCCCGGGAGGTGGAGGCTGCAGTGAGCTGATTGCACGACTGCACTCCAGCCTGGGGCACAGAGCAAGACTCTGTCTCAAAAACAAAAACAAACAAAAATGGGCCCCATGGCAGGGGTGGGAGCGGGTAAAGGGGACCCTGCCAGTGGGAAGGTTGGAAGCCACTCTGAGGAGTACCCAAGGAAAGGTATACAGTGGGCGGCTGTGGAGGATGTCACAGAGGACTCCAACAGTGCCTGGGCTCCTCGGAGTCTGCAGCAGCTCCTTGCAACAGAGAAGCACGTTCGGGCCACTCGGGACCACAGTCTTGCTCAGAAGAGCCTGGCCTCCTTAGGCTTCTGTGATTTCAGTGTTTACTGACCATATCTATCCTCCATCCCAGCTCAACAGTTTGTGATCATCAAGAACCCTACAATAATGGATATTTGCCATTTTTATTAAGTTCTCAAGGAAAAGGACAGAGAAATGATAAATCTCAATTTTTTTTTTTTTTTTTTTTGAGACAGTTTCACTCTTGTTACCCAGGCTAGAGTGCAATGGTGCGATCTCGGCTCACTGCAACTTCAACCTCCCGAGTTCAACTGATTCTCTTGCCTCGGCCTAGAGTAGCTGGGATTACAGGCGCCCGCCCACCACACCCAGGTAATTCTTTGTATTTTTAGTAGAGACGCGGTTTCGCCATGTTTACCAGGCTGGTCTCAAACTCCTGACCTCAAGTGATCCACCCGCCTCAGCCTCCCAAAGTGCTAGATCATAGGCATAAGCCACCAGGCCAGCCAATTTTTTAACTCTCTAATTACAACTCACTTTCAGCAAATTCATCCTGAACAGGCAGCACAAGAGACTGTGGTATCTTTGTTGTTCGAGCAGTCTACTAATTTGTCCACTAGTGTTGTTCCTAGTATTGAGCTGCTTCTGAGCTAACTCCTTATGTCAGCCCTTCACTGACCAGGAAGCTGAGAATGGTTCAGCTGACCTGAAAAGTGATTAGAATTGGTGCACCCTGTTAGAAACCTCTCACAGATCCAGTGGGGTGTGTATGCGAGAAAGAGAGAGAGAGACAGAGAGAGAGAGAGAGAGAGAGGGAGAGGGAGAGGGAGAGGGAGAGAGGGAGAGAGAGAGACAGGGAGTTTATCAGGTGAAGAATGGTGGCCACAGCTGTAGAACTGAAGACAGTCATCCCGGAGGGAATGGAGTGAGCGTGAGTACATTATGACAGTGTTATCATCACTCACCTCGGGACGGGAGGAGCCTCGTTTTTGTGTTCATCTGAAAACCTCCCCTCCTGGAGCTGGCAATCACGAGCATCAGTATCTCACAGGCTTTTTCAGTTCTTGTATTCTGGTTAATTTGGAGCACAGCTGTGCGATCAGCACTTTTGCAAAACTAACTCCCCGCTCTCCCGGGTTTTAGCCAAAGTGAGCTGGCGTGCACAGACCAGAAAAAAACATGGACTCTGAAAAATGAGGTCTGTTTTAATATCATCTTCGCTTTGATGATTTTCTTTGTTATCAAATAGCCTTTTTGCAAATGCCACTGCCACTGCTATCTGGAGGAGCCAGAGCTTATAGGGCAGCACCATGTCCCTGCAGGACCAGGGACAGGGCCTCAGTGACTGAAATGACAGCAACAGTATAAAGTGGCAGACAGACCACAGGAGATCCCTGGAGATTCCACTTCCAGGCTAAGCCTCACGGAGACGGCGAATCCCTGTTACTACAGGGTGATGAACATTCGTGTTCCAGCTTCAAGCAAGCAAGGCAAGGGTGCACTCTGAAGAGCAGGTGTCAGCGTCACAAAATGATGTCACAAGCAAACCAAACTCAGAACACCCAGTCCCACTCCAAAAGAAAAAGCTTTCCAAATGGCTGTGTCCTGTGAGCTCGGTCCACGAGAGAGCTGGGGGCTCTGCGGTGGGGGGTCTGTCCTAATACTCCCAGCCCTGGCTCATTTGGTGCATATTCAGAGACTATAAACTTATTTTCATTATTGTTAAGGCAAACATAATCACAGAGTAATCACAGCTCAAGTTAATTTTTTACTGCTCACTTTTCTTTGAGGCATTTAAAAGTCAAATTTTAAAGATAAATGCGCTTCTTAATGGTTAAATGACTTGACGTGGGCTTCCAAAGGTTTTGTTTGTTGTTTTGTTGTTTGAAACAGAGTCTCGCTCTGTCACCCAAGCTGAAGTGTAAGTCACACGAGCTCAGCTCACTGCAATCTTCACTTCCTGGGCTCAAGCGATCCTCCCACAACCTTCTGAGTAGCTGGGATCACCGCGGCATACCGGGCTAATTTTGTATTTTTTTTGTAGAGATGGGGTCTCCCTATGTTGCCGGGGCTTGTCTCAACCCCCCGGGCTCAAGTAATCCTCCTGCCTTGGCCTCCCAAAATGCTGGGATTACAGGGGTGAGCCACCGTGCCCGGTCCCACTCCACATACTTTTAAGAAGTGGTTGAGCAACTCTGTGGCCTGAGGAGTTGAAGACAAATGGACAAAGGAGAGGAAGTGCCAGGATGCTTTCTCATTTTGGGGCATCATTTGCCCCTTTAGGAGCCTGTTTGGATCAAACCAGTAAATGGCAAGAGCTCCTCTGGGCCACCCTCGAGGACACACTTTAAGTCAGATGGGGCTAGAGAGAACATTTTCTTCCAGGTGGATGGAGTCTTGTGCTCCAGACCCTGATGTCTGGAGGAGAGCTCTAAAAATGCCCCCAGATGGCGGCGGGCGCGGGGAGTGGCCATCCCTGTAATCCTAGTACTTCAGGAGGCCGAGGAGGGAGGACTGCTCGAACCCAGGAATTTAAGGCCAGCAACAAAGTGAGGTCCCGTCTCTACAAAATAAAAAACGAGTTGAACATGGTGGTGTGGCCTGTGGTCCCAGCTATTCAAGAGACAGGCAGGTGGATCGCTTGGGCCAGGAAGGTCCATGGTGGCCCCACGGCACTCCAGCCTGAGCAGCAGAGCAAGACCCTGTCTCAGTAAAGAAAGAAATACACTGAGCAACTTTGGTTGGGCCACAAGGAATTTTGTTTATGGATGGGTCCAACCCTCTTCTAGGAAATTCAAGCCTGGGTGACCCCCATCTAAGGTCTCACATTAGCAGGGCTGGGATGAGTGTTCTTTTCAGGAGCCACTGCTACCTAAAGAGGGAGCCTTGGCCAATGGCCCAAACTGAAGGACACAGTGGTGAGTGGGTCAGTGGGTCTGTGACCTCCAGACTCCCCGGGAGAGGACAGCAGCACTGAATCTCCCAGCGAAGACCACTGAGGGAGGAGGAGGGAAAGAGGAATACAGATAAATTTATTAGTTAAATACTGATTTTACAGCCATTTCACCTTAAGACAATGTTAACAGGTTTGTGGGTCAGGGAGGGTCTATGAGGGGGCCTTTGGGAAGAAAACAATGTAAATGATGATTAAAGCAGAATCTTGGTTCAAAGGTATTCTCTGCGGCAGCCAGTAGGATTTTGGAGCTGGGGGCTTGGTGTGTGGGGAGGCGTGGTAATGCCGCAGTCAGCTACAGCTCTGCTGAGAAAGAGGACGAGGACGGAGTCTCGTGAGCTCCAGTGTCAGGGGCGGAAACTGAGCAACGTGCAGAGAAGCCGGCGGACCCTGCAGCAGCTCAGAGCCAGAGGCTATCTCCAGGGCCCGCTGCCATGTCTTAGCAGTCGTCTTCTTTCCATGAATTTTGTTGTGTTTTGTTGGTTTGCTTTCAATTTGACTTGTAGAATCTCTGGCTTTTTGCCTCCTGGACAAAAGACTTCCGCCGGGGTGAGGCTGCAGGTCCTGGGGGACTCCGGCTGCCATCTGACCAGGGGCCAGGAGGAGCAGACAGCAAGGGGGCCAGCCCTAGAGACACCTTGTCCCCCAGCAGGACGCTGTCCATCTACGCTCTCCCCAGAAGGCTCTCCAGGCTTGGCCGAGTGTTTGTCAGACTGGCTTGAGCAGCAGAACATTTGTTCTTACTCAGAACCCCTGTGTGTGACAGGGTGAATGAAGGGTCTGCAGTGGACTCGAGGGGGTGCCACTCGGCTAAACTACCCAGCTCTTGTTTTGCGAGGGGAGAGGCATGTCCAAGCTGCAGGCAGAGCCGAATTTCTCAGAGCAGGAGGAGGGGTTTTTATTTTGAGAGATGCTGGAAGTGAAGGCGCAAAGGCCCGCAGCACGGGCAGGCACCTGGGGGAGAGCTGCCAGCTGCGTGTGACGAGGCTGCGCTCTGGGTGGGTGAAGTACCCCTCGAGCTCCCCAGGAAGTGTTCAGTCACTTCTGTGTCACGCCCCACAGTTTTGGAGTCAGATCTGGAATTGGGGATGCAGGGTGGTGCCATGCCTTGAGTGGATGGAGCAAGGGCGGCTCCCTAGAGGCCCATCGCATCCAGGTATGGGGCAAGCAGATGCCGTCATTCGGGCTGGGGCAGGGGTCCCAGGGCCTGGCCTCCGCCCGTTCTCAAATCCCGGTGCTGGGAACACAATGGAAAACCCACCGTCTAGGCCACAGCGGTGAACGTAGGGCACAAGGACATCTTGGGAAAGAAGTCTCCAAGTCACAGAGAGATGCAGTGTGCTCGTGCTGAGGCTGGGCTCCCTCCAGTCCCCCAACCATGAAAAGGCATCCGAGAAAATCCAACACCCGCTTCCCCAACCAGATGGTCAATTTCAAGTTTCTTCCCAGTTGTTCTGGAGTCGTCCTCAGGCGAGGAGGTCGGCCCCTGGGAGCCCAGGACCTCCGTCTCCACTGTCCTCCAAGTCCCAGGTCCGAGCAGGAATTTGAGGGAAGAGGGGAGATTATGCAGTGATTATGTCCCCGTGACTGTCGGCCAAGACCAGGCTGTTCCAAGAGTCCTGCTTGGAACTGGTCTGCGGAGACTGGCTGACGGGAGATGCATAGCCTTGTGGAGAGAGCTTCAGGGCCGACAGAACTGGGTGGATGGAGGGCCCGTGGCCAGACATTGAGCTGACTGAGAAGGTCTGAAAAGCAGAAAGCATACCGTGAGGCCAAGGGAGATGCTCCTGAAGGTTCGGGAGGCCTGGGCTGGGGAGGGGGCCCTACTATGCAGATGTCCCCAGGATGGCTCCAACCTGCAGGAACGGACCAAGGAGCACTTCTCTGATCCCGGTGATCTGGACATGAAGGATCTGGGCAATGCATCAGCTGCTTCTGAGCACAGCCTACAACCAGGGCTGTGACCTGCTGGGCCTGTGGAAGCTGGGCTTGCTCAGACGGCTCTGATGGTTACAGGAGACGCTTCCGCCTATCACCACCACATCCACTTGCCAACAGAGAAGCCGTCTGCCCCGCCCAGGAGGAGCTCCTGGTGCCCCTGGTTCTGTGGGATCAGGCTCTCCCAGACAATAAGCTCATTAGGACATGGCCTCTCTCACTTGAGAGCAGAGATCAAATCACAGCAGGAGCTGGTCAAAGGAGACCGTGATCAAGCTTGGCGCATCCTGATCCCAAGACAGGGAACTGCAGAGGGGACGAGGCAGGAAAGCCAAGACACCATCGCCTCCACAAGAGAGAAGTGGGGCTGCCCCCGGGCGTCCCCTGACAGGCGTACGGAGCTGGGCCTCATGAAAATGGCATCCTGCTTGTGACTTCCCTGCCAGCCTGCCCTCCCTGCCCTCTGCAGGGTCCAGGCCTTTCCCCATGCGGGCTTTTGCCTCCTTCCCCACCCTCTCCGTTGAAGTCGAACTTCCCTGCAGTAGGAGACAGGGTTGCCTAGAGAGCCCTGCTCTGCCTCCGACAGCGGGAGCATGCCTCCCCTCGCCCGGCACAGGCTGACTCAGGTTGTGGCTGTGTGTTGCTTTCCTCCCCCACCACCCACGCTGTATGCCAGCCCTGACTGCCCTGTCTCTGTTTCCAAAGATGGTGACATTGAGGAGCTGTTAAAAAATTGTGAGTCACAGTTGTGTCCCCATCACCACAGCTTGGTAAGATGTGCTGAAATACAGCCCGATGCAGACGCATCAGGGAGCCCTAAGGGCGCCAGGGAGCTCCAAGACGAGCCCAGAGGGTAGCTCGCTGCTGGCACCTACAGGGCCTGGCTGCAGGTCCCACCCCCTACTAGGCTGGACCCTGGGACTCTGGTCGGCCTCCCCACCCGTGGTGTGTACCTGGGACACGGAGCTGCTGTGTCCGTAGTGAGAGGACAGGCCGGGCTCTGTCTTGATGGGGCGCATCTCCTCGCTGCTGCTGGTGGTGGCACTGCTGGAGTTGCTGGAAGCGCCACTGGTGGGAGGAAGGCTCTCACTGCCGGAAGGACCTGGAAGGAAGCAGTCAGCGCACCCCAATCACAGACCCCAATCAGGGACAGGAACAAAGGCTTTATCTCCATTTGCTGGGAGTGTAGCAGGGGCCTTATCAGTGGGGAGCTACGGTTCTCACCGTGATGGGTTCTTCCCCCAGACCATCTCAAACCCTTGAGGCCACATGTGTTTCAGGATTCAAAACTTAAACACAAATTCCTCGTTCAACTTGGAGAATCAAATTTTTAAAAAGGCAAGTACTAGGCCAGGTGCGATGGCTCATGCCTGTAGTCCCAGCACTTTGGGAGGCCGAGGCGGGTGGATGACCTGAGGTCAGGAGTTTGAGACCAGCCTGGCCACCATGGTGAAACCCCGTCTCTACTACAAATACAAAAATTAGCCAGGTGTGGTGGCATGCACCTGTAGTCCCAGCTGCTTGGGAGGATGAGGCAAGAGAATAGCTTGAACCCAGGAGGCAGAGGTTGCAGTGGGTCGAGATCGTGTCACTGCGCTCCAGCCTGGGGGACAGAGTGAGACTCTGTCTCAAAAAAAAAGCAAATACTCTGTATTATAGAATACCTCCAGCTGGGCCTGGGATAATAATGTGTAATTAAATATATCAATATCCCCACAGCAAAACATGTAAATATCATAATGAATAGGATAAACAGAGACTATCAACAGCCTTGTATCTGTTCACATAGGTTTTGCTGCCAAATCTAGCTTCCTGGATTTGGAATTTTGTACCGGAGATTGTACGCCTGAACTGAATGTCTTCTCTACCTGTGATTGCTACATGAGAGGAAATAAGGCCGCCCAGGGCACATAGGCTCCTCGTCAGCAGCAGGGAAGCAGGAGACGCGGAAGACCACAGGTGTGAGACACTGAATATTCTGGTAGGAAATATGCCTGCCCAAAGGGGCAAGCCAGGGTTGAATCTAGGAAAGTAGAACTTCGATCACGCTCTTGGTAGTGGAAAGGGCCAATTTATCTGACTCTGTCATGTCTTAGGTTAGAAGATACATTTCCATCAGATCAGCCAATTTATTTTCCGTGACTGCAGCACTGACCGGTCAAATCTTTAACCGGGCAGCAGTACTGAGTGGGGAATGTTTTGGTAGGGAACATAAACGTATTAAAGAACAGCCCTCATTCTTTCATAAATTCATATTTAATTATTAAATTATATTTAATTGTTAAATATAAATTTACATAATTTAATAAACAAATAATAAACTTTAAAAAGAACAGCCCTTGTTCTTTTTTAAGTGTATTTATTGGAGACAGGGTCTTGCTCTGCTGTCCAGGCTGGAGTGCAGAGGCACATCGCAGGTCACTGCAGCCCCAAACTTGGAGCAGCCACCATTCTTAATCCAGAAATGAAGAAGGCAGGGTGGTATATTGAAGAGAACATTGACCCAGATGCATAAAAACTTGAGTTTTCATTCTCCATCGACCCATTACCATCTGTATGACCCTCATTAAATCACTGTCCTCTGTGAGCCTCAGTTTGCTTGTTAGTAAAATGGGGTAATAAACTGGTTTTCATGGAGTCTTACGTTCATTGAGATAACATTTCTGAAGGGGCTTTCTAAAACACAAAGCTCTGCATGATGCAAATTACACATTGGCTTAGAGATCAATCTCTTAGGAACATGATTAATCAGACCCTGTCCTTTTGCATCTCAGCTCACAGAGAATTGAAAGGAACTGAGCTTTTGGGTGGCTGCAGCACCAAAGACGAAGGGACCAAGTAAGGTTCCTCTTTCCTGCAGGCCCTCAATTGGTCCAGCGGGCCCACTGGCGTCTTTACAGTTGGCAATGATCACGCCCCAACTTGAGTTGAGGCTGCTTCAAAAGCTCCCAGAACATTCCACGGCAATTGTTACTTTTTTGCTGCTGGGGATGCACGATGCTGTCCTCACACCCTGGCGGCCTGGGCTGGCCTGCCTAACCCAGAAGGCATGACTCCTATCCACTCTGAGGGCTTCTGACACATTCGTGTAATCACTCACAGATCTTCTGCTCACCTGATGGTGTCTTAGATTTATTCAGGTTCTTTGGCTTCCGTTTTCTGGTTTGAATCCCCTCTTTCCGCATTGCAAGAGGCCTGGGGACCTGGAGGGTCACAAGTCAATATATATGGTTTTCCTTTTCTACAAAATCTGCTACAGCATTGAAACACACACACCTGCTGCGAGAAGGCAACACCCAAGCAATGTCTCCACAAAGCCTGGGGCTGAGACAGGGTGCAAAGGCCCCTGGAACTCTGTGAGAAAGAAATCAATTCTGTTTTTGAAAACATATCTAGCACCTGTGTGATGTGATGGGTACTTTACTAGAGCCTGGAGAAAGAGAGAACTAAAGACACACAGTTCCTGCCCTCAGAAATTCACAGACAAGTGGAAATAAGCAGACTTTGATAGGTGATGGAGAAAAGCCGAGAAACACAAAACTCTGTCCTAGGGTGAGGAGTGGGAAGGAGGGGCACATGAGGACATCAAGGAAGGCTTCACTGTGGAGGTGACACTTGAGTTGTAAAAGGTTTTGAGTAGACAGAGGGAGGCATTTCAGGCAGCAGAAACAGAATGTTCAAAACCGTTTATCATCCACACAGGACCCTGAAAACAAAAGTGGGTGCTAGGCCAGTCATAGTGGCTCATGCCTGTAATCCCAGAACTTTGAGTGGCTGAGGCGGGAGGATTGCTTGACCCCGGGAGTTCAAGACCAGCCTTGGCAACATAGTGAGATCCATCTCTACAAAAAAGTTTTAAAATTAGCTGGGCATGGTGGTGCATGCCTGTAGTCCCAGCTACTCAGGAGGCTGAGGTAGGAGGATCACTTGAGCCCAGGAAGTGGAGGCTGCAGCAAGCCGTGATGGTGCCACTGCACTCCAGCCTGGGCGACAGAGCAAGGCCCTGTCTCAAAAGGGGCAAGGGTGCGGGGGGGCTTGTCAGTAATTGTGCTGGGAAATTGGCCTCAACAGCAACAGTCCCAGTGAGTTGAGATGCAGCATCACTCTACTTACAGCAGCTCTGTACTGCACTGGGTCTGGCTGGAGCCAGCGGTGCTTCTAAGGATGGTCGGGAGCAGCAAGAGACTAAGCTAGAGAGAGTGACTGTGGCGAGGTCCTGAGACAAAACGTCCCTGGACAATACTCTGAGCACAGTTCTGTTGGGAGCCAGGCCCCAGAGCCATTCCCAGACGCGTCTGCCAGTCCTGGGGAGCAGGGCCGCAGGGCATCTTTCCGGTATGTTTAGGTTTGTGCCTTCCCCACATCTGGTTTCTCTTAGGCTGAGCCAAGTCTCTTAGCCCCTGTTCTACGCTATGCTTGTACACCATTTGGGGTTGATCAAGGCCACACCTGAAAATACAGAAAGAAAAGCAATTCCTGCTTCAGAGACATGAACATGGAATGGTTAAGTGAGAAATGCACCAGTGCATGTGAACTTGAACTTGCCTTCTATTTAACTGTGGGTAGATGCAGCAGCATTTGCAGCCCTGCCCCCACCATCTGCCCATCCGTCTGTGACTCTACACCCAGACCCACACTTTCCCACCTTGTGAGAGGGTGCCCTCTCCCGCCCCATCCCCCCAGCTATGCCTCAAAATTTCAAGCCCATGCTGGTCTCAGAAGAATCTTGCCCTCATGTTAATCTCCATTCACTTAGGTATGCTTTTTTTTTTCTCAGTTGCAGTAAAATAAAATACATGTAACTTAAAATTGCCCATCTTAACCATTTTTAAGTACACCGTTCTGCAGCGTTAAGCGCATTCACACGGTTCTGCAACCCTCACCGCCATCCATCCCCAGAGCTCTTCTCATCTTGCAAAACTGAAACTCCATACCCACTAGACATCAACTCCTCATTTCCCTTTTCCCCAGCCCCAGACAACCCCCATTCTACTTTCTGTCTGTATGGATTTGACATGTGGCGTCAGGGGGCAGAATTTCCTTCCTTCTAAAGGCTGAATAATATCCCACTGTATGTATATATCACATTTTGTTTATCCATTCATTTCTCCATGGACGCTTGGGTTGTTTCTGTCTTTTTGCAATTGTGAATCATGCTGCTACGAACAGGAGTGGACAAATAGCTCTTTGAGACCCTGCCTTTAATTCCTTTGCACATATATCCAGAAATGGTATGCTGGATCATATGGTAATTCTATTTTTTGTTTTCTGAGAATATAATCTTTTTAATACCTATATAATATTTTCCAATAAGTTTCTTGTACCATTTCCATATTGAAGAACAAAATTTAACCATTTTCCTTCCAAAGGTTTTTTCCTCCATTTTTCCTATTACAGTGATTAGGAAACATCTTTGTATATACTTCTTTGCAGAAAGACATGTATTTTCTTATGAATGTTCATAACTTTAACCATTTGTTTGTTCACTATAACAAGAAATCATGAAAAGATACATGAGATTAAGTTAATAGCAGCCCTCTCACTCCACTACCATCAATTCTATTCCAACGAGGCAACTGGATTTAACAACCTGTTATATATTCTTACATTAAAAAAAAATTCTCAAACACATGTACACATCTATATCTACTGATATGGTTTGGCTGTGTCCCCATCAAAATCTCATCTTGAATTGTAGCTCCCATAATTCTCACGTGTTGTGGGAGGGACCTGGTGGGAGATAACTGAACCCTGGGGGTGGTTTCTCCTCTACTGTTCTCATTGTAGTGAGTAAACTTCGTGAGAGCTGATGGTTTTATAAGGAGAAACCCTTTTCACTTGGCTCTCATTCTCTCTCGCCTGCCACCATGTGAGACGTGCCTTTCACCTTCTACCATGATTGTGAAGCCTCCCCAGCCACGTGGAACTGTGAGTCCATTAAACCTCTTTTTACTTTTGGGTATGTCTTTATCAGCAGCAATTAGCAGTATGTAAACAGACTAATACACCTATAGATGCATATTTGTGTCCACTGGTCTGTCCACCCACCTGTATGTGTGTGTTTAATGCACCTTCAATACTCATAGTATGGGGTCATGCTATATATATATTTTTGCAATGTGCTTTTTCATTTTCTAGATCAAGATACATGGCTCTAGGTTATTATTTTAAAATTTCTCCTCAATATTCTGCATTTTGGGATATACCAGAATTTATTCAAGCATTCCCTTACGGAGTTTTAAGATTGTTTCTAGTTTTTGCCACCTCAGTGCAAAAAGAAGTGGTCCAAAGGTCATCATGCACTGGATATTTTTCATAGGCTAGTTTCCCAACAGGAGACCTGCCAGATATAAAGGTATTCATGGTTTTAATCTTAAAAAAATTCCACTAAGTTAATAGATGCAGTAATTCAAATACAAATCAACAATACATGAGAGTATCTAATTCCCCAAATCCATAGCAGTCCACATTTTATTTTTTGCCAAATCTATGGGCAAAATGGGGACTCTCACGACTGTTTTTGTGTACACATCCCTGATTTTCAGTGAGATTCAGCACGTCTGCACATGTTTCATGTGAGATGTCGGTCTATATCTTTTGCCCATTTAGGGGAAGTGGGGAAAGATCAATTGTTATTTTCTTATTAGGCTATAAGATCTATCTGTTTCTGGTTTTGTTTTGTTTTAATTTAACTTGTATTTGAACAATTAAGACTTGCATGTATAGCATCTAAGGTACAAAGGGGGTAACAGCAAAAAGAGTGTTCTTCAATCCCTTCTCCCCAAGGCCCCAGTTTTTCTACTGGAGGCACCCCATGTGCATGTACAATGCACACAGGCAACCACGTAACCAACTTCTACACGTCCTTCCAGAGGTGTTCTGTGTAAGTGGAAGCAGCCACCTGTAAATTACGTTCTTCCTCATATTTATAAAAATAGTGCCATGCTAGGTACAGTGTTCTGCGCCCTGCCTTTTTGTTAACACTGTATAATAGAGAATGTTACAGTCAAAATGTAAAGAGCTTTGTAGAAGCTCCTTGTAATTCTGGAAGTATTAACCCTTTTTCTGATACTGTGTGTATTGGTCTTTACTTTCCCTAGGTATCATTTCCAAACACTAATAGTAAATATTTACAAAATCAAATATATCTAACTATTCTTATATGGCTAAAAAGTTTTAAAATTTTGTTTAAGTAGTTCTCCCATCCCCAAAGTTATAGAAATACTTCCTCTTACATTTTTTTCTAGTGCTTTTATTATCTGATTTTTTTGTAGTACTTTATTGTCTAATATTTTAATTTTTTTGGAGACAGGGTCTCATTTTGTCACTCAGGCTGGAGTGCAGTGGCACAATCATAGCTCATGGCAAACTCCTGGGCTCAAACCATCCTCCTGCCTCAGCCTCCTGAGTAGCTGGGACTAGAGGCATGCACCACCATGCCCAGGTAAGAGTGTGTGTGTGTGTGTGTGTGTGTGTGTGTGTGTGTGTGTGTGTGTGCGTGTGCGCGCGCACACACTCGTGGTTTTTTTTTTTGTAGAGACAAAGTTTCAGCATGTTGTCCAGGCTGGTCTTGAACTCCTGAGCTCATGCAATCCTCCTACCTCAGCGTCCCAAAGTACTGGGATTACGGGTATGAGCCATCATGCCTGGCCTTATTTTTAGTTTATTTCAAAGCAGTTTTACATTTACTATCTTTAATTCACCTACGTTTATTTTTGTTTAAGGTAGGAGGTGGAGGTCATGCTTTTCTTTTGTTTTCCAAATGAACAGCCAATTTTGTCAAAGCAGTTATTTTAAGCTTTTTATCTACTGAATTGAAATGTCACTTTGTTCCATATCAAACTGCTATATAGAAATGTAGCCTGCTCATCTGTAAAATGGAAAGTTAACTTATACAATGCAAAGGATAAAAGAGACCCGCAAAGACGTTGAGAGTCCCTTCCAAATCTAAGTATTCTTGTTAAGAAGGAAAAATGAATGTGTCCAAAGGAAGAGGCCCAGTGAGGACTGAGGGATGGGCGTCGGAAGGCACGTACCCCGTGGAGCTTCATGTAGAGGCCGCAGGCGTTGCACACAGGCTCGCCCTCCGCGTTGCGGCGCCACAGCGTGGTGGTGGTGGTCTGGCAGTTGGCGCAGGAGAGGCCCACTCGGCGGGAGGCAGACTGCAAGACAGGAAGCAAACCCTTCATGTCCGAGTAAAAGGCGGGCACTGCCCTGCCACCTCACCTGTGACTGCGGGGCTCTGCCCTAACGACCCCGTGTGAGTTCTCTGACCCGCGACAATGCCTAACTCTCCCATCACCTGAGCCACTGCTGCACGAGGAGAGTGAACATGGGCATTGAAGACCTGGCTTCCAGTCCTAACCACCATTTACTGCCAGGCACATGACCCAGTGAGTGCCGGGCACTGCAGGCAGCAAAGCTTCTGTTGCGTGTGCAACTGACATGGGCTGCAGGTGTCAGGGCGGGTGGAGAATGAGGAGTCACGGCGTCCAAATGGTATCAGAGTCTGAACGGCCCTGGGACCTCAAGAAAAGCACGCACCAGGGTTGATCCCCTCTCTTCCTCCCTCCTTAATATATAGTGCAAGCTGGTGGGTGTTGATCAGAATCAAATGATATTAAACAGGGGTGTGGAGCCAGGAGCCAAGCCCCAGGCCCAAACTCTTCCCCAGCCACAGGCCCCAACACCAGCTGTTTGCACTTTTGGGCTTTGGGACTTATCAATTGATAACTGAAGTCAGGGTAGAGGCCAGCCTGTGAGATGAGCTTCCTCACAGGGTTGGCATGGATGGAGGAGACACTGCAGTCAACGCCAGACTGGGAACCAGGAAACCTGGATTCTCGCTCCAGATGGGAGACTCAGTACCTGAGTGGCTGTGGGCAAGGCCGCTAGCTTTTCTGAGCCTCACTTTCAGTTTCCGTGTGCTGAAGAGGTTGAATGAGACACCCTGGGTCATTCCAGTAGCTCCTGCTAAGTCTAAAGTTGTGAGAATGTTTACGGGGCTCTCACCCGTCTAATCCCTAGATCCACACTCTCAAGTTCCAAAACTCAAAACCAGAGGACCGTCCCACCAAGGCGGGAGCCCTGCAGCCAGTGCCGAGAGGAGGCCACGAGGGGGAGGCCACGCAGGAGAGGCCACGAGGGGCATGCTTACCAGCCGGCGCTGGGGCTTGATGAGCGGCCGGTTGATGCCGTTCATCTTGTGGTAAAGGCCGCAGGCGTTGCACAGATAGTGACCCGTCCCGTCTCGCCTCCAGAGCGGAGTGGACATAGCCCCACAGTTGACACACTCTCTGCCTTCTGAGAAGTCGTCAAACATATCTACTGAGTTGGGGGGAACAGACAAGAAAAGATACAGAGGATTAATTCTTTGTTTACGCCCAGCTCTTACATCCGAGAATCTAGAGGGCGCAGAAATGATGCCTTTCCTTGGAAGGAGAAGACCACCTTGGGCTGCCCTTGCTCTTCCCCTCTCTGACCTCAGCCCCTGCTCCCTAATCCCGGACACAGCAGAGCTCCTGGCACAAGAAGAGAAAAGTCGCAGCAATCACCCGCACCCTGGGCTGGGAGGCGGACACCTGGATTTCAGTCCGGGTATCACATTGAGAGCCTCCAGCCTCACACTGAGGTGAGGGCCCTGGGCTCCCCTCCCCTCCTCTCCCCTCTTCTCTTCTTTTCTTTTCTTCAGACGGAGTTTCACTCTTGTGGCCCAGACTGCAGTGCAATAGCGCTATCTTGGCTCATTTCAACCTCGGCCTCTCAGGTTCAAGGGATTCTCCTGCCTCAGCCTCCCAAGTAGCTGGGATTACAGGCATGCACCATTTTTAGTAGAGACGGGGTTTCACCATGTTGGTCAGGCTGGTCTCGAGCTCCTGACCTCAGGTGATCCACCCACCTTGGCCTCCCAAAGTTCTGAGATTACTGGCATGAGCCACCACACCCAGCCTTGTGAGACTTTCGTATGTTGATATATGTTTTTGCCAAGCTATATAATGCTTAGTCTATGTGGGTCTTTTGCTTAATACCAAAGCATTTTCCCAATAAAGAATTCTTTACCAACTCATATATCATTATTTCATCATATAAATGTGCCATCATTTAACTAGTACCATTCAACTATTCATCTTTATCCAGTTTTGGATTCCTGTTTTGTAAACACTGCTCGGTTTTCACATAAATCTGTGCATTTCTAGTTATTCCTTAGGATACTGTCTGAGAAGTAGAATTTCTGAGTCAAAGAGACTAGATTTCTTTGAAAGTTCTTGGAATATCCTTCCTTCTTTCCCTCCCTTCCTCCCTCCCTCCTTCTCTCTCTCTTTCTGGGATGGAGTCTGGCTCTGTCGCCCCGGCTGGAGTACAATGGCGTGATCTCGGCTCACTGTACCCTCCACCTCCCAGATTCAAACGATTCTCCTGCCTCAGCCTCCTGAGTAATGGGATTACAGGCATATGCCACCACACCCAGCTAATTTTTGTATTTTTAGTAGAGACGGGGTTTCTCCATGCTGGTCAGGCTGGTCTGGAGCTCCTGACCTCGTGATCCACCTGCCTTTGCCTCCCAAAATGCTGCGATTACAGGCATGAGCCACCATGCCCAGCCAGTTCTTAGAATTCTCTAACTGTCCTGCAAAAAAGGACTTCATTCATTCATTTTTTTCTGTTTAAATTTACCTGTATGGGCTGCTGTATCATAGTTTGACACTTTTCTTGCTTATTGGTATATAAACTAAAGGCACATATTATAAGCAATGGCACCTTACAGCTGCTCACATGAGCCGAGCGTCTCCCCGACCAGAAGGCTGCCAGGGTCGGCCACTCCCCTTCACTTGCTCCCCCAGCGCCATCGCCTTTATCATCCGTGTCTACAGAATGTCACAATTGACAGATTCCACTTGTGTCCATTCTCCTCGCCCTGGTGAGACAGGCAGGGTCAGTTTTCTTATTCCCTGTAATCTGTATAAAGCCTGGCTCACACCTTCCAGAAGTCTCTGTGACTTCATGTTATCCTAACTTTCTGTCCCTAAACATGTCTGCCTTGGTCTCCAGATCACTCCTGTGCTGCTGCCAGAGGCAAGGGCAGATTCTTCTCTAGTGAAGAGGGGAGGTTTTATGGGGCTGGGAGGAGGACACGTGGTGAAGAACTCCCTTTCCAACAGGACCCAGCCTGGGAGGGGTTAAGTCTGCGCATTTTGCTAGTTCTGTGGCCCAGCTACTTGCTCTAAGGGAACGTGGGCTAGAGAAGAGGATGGTGGGGGGCCTCCCCCCAACTCTGGGTACACAAACAGTCATTTGCACCTGCAAACAGGTAGCTGTGTGTCCACACCAAGTAAACAATGTGCAGGTGTGAGGGGCTGTTTGCTCAGGCCAGGGGGCGGAGCACAGGCGTCATGGCAGAGGCTATTTTTACACCTGGGTCACACTGACAGCCTCCACCAAGGTCACCTGCCCTCGGAGCTACACATGATGCAGCGACTCCCACCCACACTCGCTCCCAGCTGGACCACTGCAGTCAACACTACCACGGCCACCTCTGCAGTCTGGGCCTATGGCCTGTTAGCGCCACTTCTTCCATCCAGGCCTGCCCATGAGGGGATTAGAGAGGCCAGGAATTCACAGAAGGACCCCGGACCAAGCCAACTCCACAGCAGGAGGGGAGCGCATGCAAAGTCGTCATTTTATTGCATGTCTGCAATAAACACTAGATGGCACCACCATCTCAAAACTGAACCAAGACGTGCAGTCTAGCCTGGACCAAGCGTGGACACAGAGGCCTCGTAAGATCACCTTTCCAGTGCAAACCTACTGCAATCCTCTCATTCTGTTTTTCTTTTTCATTTTATTGTGTTCTTCAGAGACTGGGCTCACTCTGTTGCCCAGGCTGGAGTGCATTGTGCGATCATAGCTCCCTGCAGCCTCTACCTCCTGGCCTCAAGAGATGGATGCTCCTGCCTCAGCCTACTTTCTTTTTCTTTTCTTTTTTTTTTTTTTTTTTCTGAGACAGGGTCTCACTCTGTCACCCAGGCAGGAGTGCAGTGGGCACTGTGACCTCAAGCCTCCTTAGCACCTGGGACTACAGGCACGCAGCACACGCTACCATGCCCAGCTAATTTTTGTAGAGAAGAGGTTTCACCATGTTGCCCAGGCTGGTCTCAAATTCCTGGGCTCAAGTGATCCTCCTGCCTCAGCCTCCCAAAATGCTAGGATTACAGTCATGAGCCACTGCACCCAGCCCTATTTTTCTTTATTATGAAAAACTTTAAACATATTCAGGCCGAGCGCGGTGGCTCAAGCCTGTAATCCCAGCACTTTGGGAGGCCGAGGCGGGTGGATCACGAGGTCAAGAGATCGAGACCATCCTGGTCAACATGGTGAAACCCCGTCTCTACTAAAAATACAAAAACATTAGCTGGGCATGGTGGTGCGTGCCTGTAGTCCCAGCTACTCAGGAGGCTAAGGCAGGAGAATTGCCTGAACCCAGGAGGCGGAGGTTGCAGTGAGCCGGGATCGCACCATTGCACTCCAGCCTGGGTAACATGAGTAAAACTCCGTCTCAAAAAAAAAAAAAAAAAAAACCATATTCAGAAGTGGACAGAATATTTAAACGAACATTCACTTAACCGTCACCCAGCTTCCAATCATTTGTGGTCAATCTTGTCTTATCTACACCTCCATCCACTTTCCCCATGTTGTATTACTGAAGAAAATCCCAGACGTTCTATTATTTTATTCACAGATATCTCAGTATGTTGCTCTAACAGATAATCAGTCATACTCTTAAAGATAAACAAACTGGCTTCTCTCCTACATTCGGGTTTATTTAAATTCCATGATCAAAAAATCTCATAACCTGTTTCTCTTCTTTGGAGGGGAAATTTTATTTTCTCCTCATAATTATTGTTTTATATGCAGGAATGGAGTCTTTTTTTTCTTTTTCCCACACTGAAAAATTGTTTTTGAGACAGGGTCTCACTGGGTCCTCCAGGCTGAGTGCAGTGGTGCGATCTCGGCTCACTGCAGCCTTGACCACCCGAGCTCAAGCGATCCTCCCACCTCAGCCTCTCAAGTTGCTGGGGCTACAGGTGCGTGCCACCATACCTTGCTAACTTTTTTGTATTTTTGGTAGAGAGAGGGTCTCACTATGTTGTCCAGACTGGTCTTGATCTCCTGAGCTCAAGCGATCCTCCTACCTCAGCCTCACGAAGTGCTGGGACTATGGGTGTGAGCCACTACACCCATCCCAGAATCTTATTAAAGGACCCAGGAGTCCCTGGAGCGTCCTCTCAGCTGCGAACTCACCTTTGGCTGCCTTGAGATGCCCACACAGGTGTGCCCCGGAAGCTCCTGCAGGCTCACCTCGGAGATGGGTTATACATTTGAGCAGCTGTTTTACTGTCCAGGTAAAGTCACTGGAGCCTGGCAAATACGTATGTGTCACCAGCAAATATTTACTAAGCATCTGCTATTTAATCACACTGATAGATGTCACAGAAGCTAGGAGGGAACCCAGGTCTCAGAATGCTATTGCTCTAGTCGGACAAATTGGATTTGAATATCAATAATGAGTAACAATATTACTCGGTTCATTTTTAGACCATACCTTCAGCAGTGGAGGTGACTTGTGGCAGACCCTAATTGTCTATGGCAGAAAGTGTGGAATTCCCACCAGCCTCAACGTCCCATTGCGATAGAAGGGTCAGGGGTTACCAAAACAGCCGAAGCAAAGGCTGTGCTTCCTGAAGACACCCCGTAGACAACCCAATACCCCTCCAAATCTGCAGATTTTTCCCTGTTTCTGACCACAAAATCTTGCCATCCAAACTGCTCAATGAAATGTTACATCCATTTTAAATAATTATTACAAAAACAAGGTAACCATGAAAGAAAACATTGACCCTATAACGTTAAATGACAAACACAGCACCTGAAACCATATACACTGTGACGGTGGCTGAGACCACCAAGGCAGCTTTTCTTCCGCTCATTATAATAAAATGCCATTCTGTAATGTTATCATTGCTTATTTTTAAAAATCTGATAAAAAAATAAAAACAAATATCTGATCACCCCCAGCAGCTGTGAACTGACACTAAGGAAGGTACCGTCTTGCCCTCTTACATCTGACACATACTAATTTTTCCAGCCTTGTACTGAAGAATGGAAACAAAGAGGTTCCAGCTTTGGGGCTGAGCATCTACTCTGCGGGAAATCGGGTGACAGGCTGTAACAAGTCCCAAACCGGCACGAACACCTGCTATGAGCCTTGGGAAGAACCACTTCTCATTCCTTCCTAGGAAAGGCACTGAGAGGAACTTCCCAGGGAG